AATAAGGTAATCACGTCATGGAGTATACGTCTGTGGTGAAACTGATGCCACGGACACACTCGATTGTTCAATAACAACTTTCCATGACTTTCAGTAGTGTTCAAGAATATCGACAGACGTCGTGGACTTTGGCTGGGTCTGGCATTGAGGCTGTCCCGTCCAGTCGCTCTGCTCGCACGCTGAGTAGAGTTTCATAGAAGGAAGAGAATTCTGCGCCTGACAGTAACACTGATTCCTGTACTGACAACATTTATGGATTTCGCCCGTTCGAATGGCGAGGTTCGTCAAAGCGGAAGTCTTGCTGGTGAGCTCTGATCATATACAGAGAATTCTTTTTGAACAACAATTAGGAACTCCATAGATAATAACAGAGAGTGAGAGTTCGTATGCAAATGATTTCTCGACGTTTGCATCGCGTTCACGCCTAGTTAGAGTGACCAACGAAGAGGTTCCCATACATGGTTAGGATCGATGGAGATTGGGTTATAATTGGAGAAAGCATTACAGACCATGCCCCCTCTGGAAGGTCAGATTGGCCAAAGGCTGCTGCGTTCAAAGCCAACCGCGGTCTGTTGAGCAGGGAGGGACACATAGGGGGTCCAAGTTGACGAAATCAGCTGGAACTCCGGTTTAAAAGAGGCCATTAAACCGTCAGCATATGCAGGTTTGAGTAGGATTCAGCAGTCCAGTCCAATCGGGTCTTGACAAACTGCATCTGAAGAACCAACTGAGCGGGGTGCCAACAAGTGGGCTGGGATGTTCACGACCAGGGGGTTGTTGGCCCATCAGTTTCCCGAGGTGTCCAAACCACATTTAATCCCCGTTCATTCCCGCCCACCATTTGGCATTTCCCAAAACCTTTCATCTTTTCCCCCCTGGAACTCGACTTGGAAAAAGAGTGTGCTGCTTAGCAGAAATGGCGGAACACGCCCCTCAACCCCCGGTTGCTGTGAGTCCAATGTGCTCTACATCGCAATTGCGGTGTATATCATACTACATGGGGCAGAATTAACTTATGTAAAAAAGGCGCCTCAAGTCGAAGATGACGCCGTGTCTATAACGCCTGAGGTTAGCCATCCACATGCCTGTCTGAGGTGGGCTTGAGTCCTCAACTAACATTTCGAAGTCCGTGGCATCGTCGAAGGCTTCCTTGAGGTCTAGCATCATGGAATTTCGAAAGGAGAATGGCCGCACCTACCACAGGCTGAGTGACGGAAGTGAGTTGGAAGCCGAAAGTGGTGTAACGAATCTCTTGCTAACAACACCACCACAGAGTATTTTGGACCGAATGATGAGGTAGGGCCCGGCTTTGATTTTTTTCTAGAGTGAAATCTAACGTCACTTGACGCAGACGGAGCAAGATCGCCTGGGTACGTCTAGCCAAAACCAAAACGATAGCGTGCGACTGACGATGAATACATCGTAGACCATGCTCATGAATTGTGGGTGAGGACGTGGGACGGCCTGTGTATCAGCCCCAAGAAGTACGGTGCGAACCGTGTCCTGGACGTTGGAACTGGAACCGGCATATGGTCCATAGACTATGGTATGGTGGAAAGCACTTCGGTTTCTTTGAGAATTCTGAGCTAATCAAACCGTAGCGGACGAACATCCCGAGGCAACCGTAGGTCACTGAGTGAACCTGGTCTAAATTGGGCTAAGCAATCACAGGTTATTGGGGTTGATTTGAGTCCGATCCAGCCTGACTTGTGAGTTCATTATGACTTCCACCCAGCCACAAGAGATAACTGACCTAAGCTACCAGCGTCCCGCCAAACTGTTACTTTGAGGTGGACGATGTCGACAAGCCGTGGATATTCTCGCAGCCGTTTGACTTTATATTTGTCAGGGCTATGGTCGGGAGCTTCCGCAGCTGGCCTAAATTCCTCTCTCAAGCCTACGACAACCTCGAGCCTGGTGGATACATCGAATTACACGATAACAACTTCCCAGCGATATGTGGAGATGGCACAATGACGGAGGACTCATATATTTTGCAGTGGACGCAGAACGTCGTGAAAGCCACCGATGCCGCCGGGCAGCCCATTACGACGGCACCAAGCTTCAAGAGGCTGCTTCAAGAGGCAGGCTTCGTGGACGTTCAGGAACGCACGGAGTACTGGCCCGTCGGTACTTGGGCCGCTGACCCCCGTCAAAAGGACATTGGCTTGTGGTGCGCTGAGAGCATGACGAAAGGCATCGAATCCATCTGCATGGCTCTGTTTACTCGCATGCTTGACTGGACCAAGGAGGAAGTGTTGGTATTTTGCGCGCATGTGCGGGATGAGATGAAGAAGGGCAAAGTTCACGCCTACTTCCTAGTGTAAGCGATTTATATCTCTATAGCTCTAGGGGTTGAAAGATTTACTAACAAATGGTTCAGGTATTCCGTTTGGGGCCAGAAACCTGAGAAGGAAGCTTCCGAGCCGCCTGAGGCATAGGTGACTCTTGACATAAGGAACCGTTTCCATTCGTCTAGATAGATTGATCCAAGAGACTTTTCATCTGCAGAGCACATTCTCTCATTGAAAATAGCCTGAAAGTTTCCCCAAAGACCCTTAGCCCGATTCCGCCGCTCGCGCTAGGTACCCACCATGATTTTCAAGACCGGGCCGGTCCGGCCCCACCGACTCGGAGAGTAAGATGCACAAATGCAGGAAACCCGAGTCGAAAGGGATCTAGCAATCTTTATTCCTTTAATCTGAAGTCTGTTCTATGCCGCAAAGACATAATGCTGGGAGTGACCATTCTCGACGCGGATGGCAGATATTTGCCGCGCCACAGCTATCCATCATATTAGCGACAAAGACGGAATCAAGCAGATGGCTGCATGTATTCCTGGAATAGTCAACGTTAGACCACGACCGTTGAACGACTGAAAAAGGTCGACCCAAATGGACCATGCGAGCTGGTTATTTGGCGGTAAGCCCTTGTCGGATCTGCTTGTGACATGAGTGGCATTGAGACCTGGGGGAAGCTCAACTACCCCAAATTTCTGACGGGCGAACCACACAAATATAGCGAACTGGAGGCGCGACGAATCCTGCTTTGTCGGCTGCACCCGTCCCCCAAAGAACGAATGACTTGACGAAAAGACCAACCACGGCGAAATATGCGTACATGTCGTCCAATTGAACCTGATATCTCGACGCTGTGGAGGAGGCGTCCTGCTGCCTCGTTTGCCTCATGGCTAACCTCAACTATCAAAGCTTCAACTGTGTTCACGACCTGCTTTCAGATCATTGGCCAAATTTATCCACTCTCTGACGCATGGCATATACTTGCATCAGTCGTGTGCTTGACTTATCTGCCCGAACTCGGCGGAGGTAGAAGTAGTACTTGAACGCCATACAACAATGGCAGGGAACTGCAGATGCAACGAAGTAGCTGCTGGCATGCTCGTCAACTTTCAGGCAGCAGATTGTTCAAGTGATGCTGCCGCCTCGATAGTTCCCTCCAATGGACATATTGTGGACAAAAACCTTCGTTGCGACCCTGACTCCGACAGTTTTCATATAATATGGTTCTCGACTCGATTGCGTTGGAGGAAAGTCGCCCTGTTGAATCTCAGTTTCTTTCTACCTTTTGTTATCTTTTCTAGACGCGAAACCCTTGAATAAAACCCAACATCTTCGCCAAGCCCTCGACGCTAGTTTCATATCGCTGTTGCACAGGCACGCCACGCTCAGACGGACATCAGCTCTACCAGAACATTAGTGAACGGGTACGTAGTCTTAGCACACGGAATCACATACCATATTGATTGTAATACATTACGACTTGTATTTCACATTGAATCAGCGGAGCGTTGCTTTTATAGACCATAGTAGCAAGTATTTGGACTGACATGGACTGTAATCCAGTGAAAACCCAGCCAACATCATCGGTTCCGACGTTGACGCCTCCAAGTCGCAAGAGAAACAACGCGTCGCCTCCTTCTTGGCCGATAGGAATGGTCCCGTCCCTCTTTTCAGCCAGACCAAAGCCTCCATTAGTCAGCGTATTGACCATAGAACCAAGATCATACACGAAGCCATCTCCAAGGTGAAGAAGTGAAAGCGATGTGTGAGGGTTGGACCTCTCTCGCTGCACGTCAAAGAATGATGCTCACCCAATCAGAATCTATCAGTAAGACTAGGATTTTATGATTGGAATCATGAGATCGGCTGATAAGCAACAGATGCTGACCTACAACGCCTCTGATGGCTAGGTGTGTCAGCTCAGCTACCTAATACGGCTTCCGTAATTATTCGGCCCCGCTCGGATCCGATCCATACACCGTCTCGGGTCCGCTCCGGCCGGGGTCACCGGCTGACACCCGAGTTTCGTTGTCTACATGTGCTCCAGGCACCGGAAAAACAGACAAAAACACCGAAAACAAAGGCACAATGCCAGTGAGAGAGACTCTAGCGGGGCCAGCCGTCGCTTTCGCCGAGGATATTCCTCTACTAGCACTGCCGAACATAGCGGCCGCAACTAAAGAGTTGGCTGAGTGCAGGCCGCCCGTTCGCACCATGCAATGATGCAACAGGTGCAATAAGGCAACCAGCTTGCACCCCTCTTTATCACCCACGATTCCCCTTCTCACCCAAATTGCGAATCCCCTTCCACCTCCTTTTCCTTCGAAACATGTCGTCACTCTTTGGATCTTACAAGCCACGTTTTCCCGGAGATTTCCACAATAGCTTCCTCTCGGCTGAAGCCACGTCGGCGGGTTGCTACTGGCGACGAGCCTGTCAAAGTAACTCCTATTTTAGGACGGCGCAGAGACGCATGCGGCGATCCAAGCAGCCTTTAACCGACGGATGTGCAGGTGTCACAGATGCAGCAGGCATTCAAAGGATAATATTGAGATAATCCTTTGGAGAGAAAGTGTCCAGGAACTTGTGTAATTAACGATTAAATAATACATGTGGCTGCCCGTGCCCCAGAACGCCGTGGATATCATGCTAAACCCAATGCCTAGTGTCATTCAATCGTGATAGTACAGGTTTTGACTGCTATGTTGTTTCCCTCAGGGTTAACACGTACGGCAAATCGGTCGAGTCTGTTCGGGTTGCCAGTCGGATGACTGAGCCCGATGCCGAGCTTCCGGATGCCCTTGATCTCATACTGGCGCTAGATGAGAAGTGACTAGGTCCGTACGCCGGCCGAGACTGAGCAAAGCTGTTTAAGCTCGATGATCTGGATATTGCACCGCCTAGGGTACCTATATTTGGTGTTGCAGGTGCTGTACGGTATTGAAGCCAAGTATGTGCTGAAGAGTTGCGCGCATCCATCTGCGGCACCCTCTTCTTTTGAAAGGAGCCTTGTGTGCTCTGCGTTGCGGAACGGGACAGGGTGCTTCGAGGCGTAGTCGGGTTTGTGCCCATGGGCGCGTCGTTATCGATATCGCTCTCTTCGCTGGGCTCATCCGCAAAGCCTAACATGGTTGGATCTAGAGGTCGCATGCCTCGGAGGATAGCGGCAAATAAGTGCATTAACTCGCGAAACCGTGCATTCGATATTGGCCGGGTGGAGAATCGCGCATATTCATAAGCGGCCAGGAAGTCTGCGGTCGTCGCGTTAAGCGAAATGACACCCAGCTCAGCCAGGTGTCCGAAGTAATCGCGCAACCCCATTTGCAGAGGTCGCTGCAGAAGTGCTACGGCATCGGGATCGAGCAACGGGGGGATAGTCGAGGATTTTGGATCGGGGGGCGCAGACGTAAGCGCCTTCGCCTCGATGAGGTTCGGTAGTTCGGAGAGGACGGTGCTGTATTGTAGATCGGGAAGATCGAGGGAGTTGGGAGACGACCAGCCGTAGTGTTCGATTTCGCCCCAGACTGGTCGTCGAGGAGGCAGTGCTATGCCTGTGTCCTTCTCTGTCGTGGCGGGTTTCTTCAGACTCACGAGTTGAAACCTTCTCTTGCCTTCGCTGCCTCCGCTGTAGGTTTTCTCTGCAACCGTTTCATCGGCCTCGCTGCCCAGCGCATTGGTCTCGACTCGGGGTCTCGCATCGTAGGCGATTGCTGCGCTGCGTTTGAGGTCCGCTGTGATCATTTCGTGAACCTTCTTGTTCACGTCGCCCCTTTCGATGGGGACCCATGGTTTCGGTATCGATGCGAGGATGGTCTTGTTCAGATACAACCGCGTCGCATAGATGAAGGATACGATGAGAAGGACGAGAGTGAGGGTCGCGGCGATGATCCATATGTTGTATGGTTGGTTGTTGGAGTAAGCCTGGTATATAGTGTCGCCCGGGGTGACGAGGAGGAGGGCGGCGAGGAGGAAGCATAGGACGAAGTAGAAGCTGCCGTAAATAAAACGGAAAATTGCGCGTGGAGAGAACATCGGGAATGGTGTGATAGGTGCGACTCGAGGGAATCAACCCGGGAGGTGACGAGTTTTCTGGACAGAGATCATGGACTGTCGGGTCAGTGCATGAGGTAATGGTGCAAATCGGAAAAGCATGGCTGGGTGAATATGCGCCGATGCGAATAGTGTCGATAATGGTGGCGTGAATGGTCAGAAGAAGAGGGACGTAGAAGGCTAAACATTACATAGGGAACGGAAGAAGGAAGGGGAAAGGTTTGAGGGAACGAGTGTGAGATTGGAGGTTGGTTAAGATGGCGGGAGGTTTCGCCGCACGTAGCGTGATGGTGACGACCTGAACCGGGAACCGCGAAAGACAGGCGAGCGCGGGAGAGGCTGGGTCATTTTGTTTTATTTCGCTGCGGTCCACTGCTCATCCCCCCCAAATTCAAAAGCTCAGGTGGGGGTTCCAATGGGGACCCTTGTAGCTTCCAGCTTTCAGGCTTTCCAATTCAAGATTCGGCCTAGCGGCCCAGGCGGGTGAGCGGCCAACGGGCACTAGCCATCCACATTCCAACCCGGTCTCGCAGGATCACAATGGGCTGGGCTGCCGGACTTGGGGGAATTCTCGGTAGCACCACCTCATTTTCTCGTTACCGCTGCTCTGTGGACACGAGAAGGTATGACTAGCGTCTAGAAGGTGTCTTACATGTGCGACTGCGCCCAATCGCCGGCATCCAATCGTCTTGTGTCCATTCTGCTTCTGATCCAGACCGGACGGACTCATGCAATTACATGTGATAGACTTTGGGGCTTGCAATCGGTATTGTGTTTTACTTTCTTTAATTGTGTGGTACTACGCACACTTCATTATGCATGCGAATATCTTTTTCGTCCGCCTCGCCCCCCCATGCGCCCTTCACCGACTGCTCAATCTACTGATCCCTCTGCACCAAGCACGCACCTGCGACATGGCCCGTCCCTACTGGGCCTGTTGCATCTCAGGGAGCAATGGTCTGTCCTCCTCGGTGGGAGATGCTTCGGTTGAAGCTTCCTTGGCTAGTCTGATATCCGTGCGACTTAATCTCAAGTCGCTCGTGTAAGGCTCAAACTCTGCCACAACCTGCGCAAGGCCCGTCTTCAGCGCAGACAACACTCCATCCACCTCCGGCGTGGCCCTGCTTCCGTGGATATCCGTCCAGTGAACTGGGAAGTTGGCCTTGAACGCCTCAATCTTGTTAATGATAACGGTGAAGTTTCGGATGACGGACGCGACGTCTCTGTGGACGTTACCAAACTTGTCCTCCTGGATGCTGTTCACCAAGAACAAGCTGAGCACATCAATGGCGTTGATGTACTGGCTCAGCTCCGAGTACGGGGATCCCAGAATTACAGCAGTGAGGCGGTTGCGGAACTCTTGGCGGAAGATCCAGCCCATATATTCGTTACCCACGATCGTCAGTGCCCAAGTCTGGATCTGGGTTCTCAACTGAGGGGAGGACAGAGCCTCTTGCTGCTCCTTGCTCAGGACCTTGTCCCGCGCACCCCGAAGCGTTTTCTTTGCCAGAGGGCTGAGCTGCGAGACGGGAGAGTGACCAGGGTGTCGTCCAACCGACGTAAGGGCCTTTTCCACTTCGCCGCGCATGCTCTTGTTCGCTGGCTTGCTCTGGAAGATCGGATCCTCCTTCAGAGGTGCCGAAGAACGAGCCCGCACCTGCTCGGGCTCGACGGGAGGAGCAGGCGCTGCTGGAGGCTTTCCATACTCATCAATTCTCTTTTCAATGCTCTTTACCACCTCAAGGCAGAGCACAAAAACTTGCGACCACATGGAACCGTCTTTTCGATCAATATCCTCGTAGATAGCTTTCCGTCTGACATCATCGCTTCGGGCAATGTGTGCAAGTTCCCACAGAGCAAAACACTGTGGACGTCAGTTGGATTTTTGTCAGAACGGCAGCAGATGACTTACCCGAATTTGCGACTTTTTGCTCTTGAGTCCATTCAGCAGGCTCCCATTGGGATCCTTGGACTCGCTAGTAAGGGGCTTGCCGTTCTTCAGCGGCTCTTTAACCATGAAAGTCGAAAAAGCATGATTCGCCGTCTTCCATGCGCTGGAAATGAGGAAGCCTGCAATAAAGCAGCGAACGAAGAGGTGGATGTCGACTGGCTGACTAGGAGGCAGCATGTTCGTCTTGGGGAGGTTGTAGAAGGGACGCAGGAAGAATAGCGCCCATCCCCAGGCCCATGATCGCAGGAGGAAGAAATAGACAACGGATGTGACGAGAATATTGGCAAAAGCTCTGGAGCCTGCCTGGGCCAGAATCGCTGGGATCTCTCCGACAACATTCTTCAAGGTAGCGGAGCTATCCCCCGAGCTCTTCGCCTCACCGTTCTTCGACCTCGAGACGTTGATCAGGATTTTGTCATCATCCTGGTAGAAGTGGAAAAGCGCCTGCACGGCAGCGCTGATGCCCATATAGCAAAAGAAGAAAATCGTCCTCTCGTTCGCTCGCGCGCGGTCGCCGCTGTAGTATGTTACCACCCCCAGATTCGCGGTCTCTGGAAGCGCCCACAGGTATATGTAGGAGAAGAGTGTGCTCGAAAAGCTGTAGAACATCCATGTCTCGATGGTCTGGAGACTGAAGAAGAACTTGGTAAACGCGTCGAAGGTCGAATTAGCAGCGCGGACGCCGACGTGGTATTGGGAGATGCGCAGGACCAGTATCGCCAGTCCACAGATGAAGATGAAGAGGGTACGAATGCCAGCGGGGCCAATGGGAAACCATGTCCAAAAGTCTAGCAAAGGTCAGTCGGGAGCTTCGCTCGTAGGTAGGCGTCGTGAGCGGCAACTCACAAGAGCTCCAGCCGGACAGAATGATGGCCTGGAAGTAAGAAAGGGCGAGCAAAATGGTAGCCGTGGAAGAAAACCGTCTATGCAGTGCAGGCTGCAGAAAGTCCTTATAAGGCGCCCTTCTGACTGTTGCCGGTGCCATGCTGACAGCGCATGGTCGATTGACCGTGTTTTTTGGGGAGAAGTTGGCGAGGCTGCACTCGAGCTGCTCGTGCCGGGATCTGGAAGTAAGTAAATAATGCAAAAATCTCCCACGCAACAACACTGCAGCTAGGTAAGGTACGGGTCAAGCTTTCAGGGCGCCTGGGCCCACCGACGAAGCCACCTGCAGACTGAGGTAAGCCACGACATATCACGTGCAGATAAGATAATCAGGCACCATCAATGCGAACGTGACGTGATTGGATGACGGCAGGCACTTACGTAGGTTCCAGCCACAGCTAACGACGACATCTAGCTCCCGGCATTGCATCACGAGCCCGCGTTTCTCCAACAATACAAGATATTGGTATCGTCCAAATTGATCCATCGTCGCACGATACGACTTCACTCTTTTGATACCCATCGCTTCTGTTTTTCATCTCGGAACATGTCTTATGATCAACTCTCCTCGCTCGAAGCGGGCCGATCAGGTCGCCAGGGCAATTACTCCGACGACCCCGAGTTCAAGCAGCTCCAATCGCAGCTGACGAACAAGATCTTCAACCTGCGGCGCAACATCCAGCAGCTGACGTCTGATGTCAATATTCTCGGCACGAAGCGCGACACCGCTCGAGTGAGAGAAAGAGTTCATGATCACCTAGATAAGACACGGGACCTATGCAAGGAGATTGGAGATGGAGTGAAGAAGCTACAGACCTGGGACGACTTGACGGTATATTGTGGCGCGCAGAGGATGCATGTTCTCCCGCTGACTTTCATTTTAGAAACAACAAAAGTATGACCAATCTAGGGTCTCGACGGACTTCCAGAATGCCCTCCAAGAATTCCAAGACATCCAGCGCAAGGCCCTTGAGAAGCAGCGTGCATCGGTCACAGCTGCGCGCGCGGCGCAAGACGGAGAGGGAGCAGACGCCTCGGCTGGCACCGAAGACCGTCTCGAGCAACAGCAGCAGCAGGAAGCCATCCGATTAGCATCTCAGGACGAGGTGGACTTCCAGGAGGCGCTCATCATCGAGCGCGAGGAGGAGATCCGCAACATTGAGCAAGGTGTTGGCGACTTGAATGTTCTATTCAGACAGGTGGCGCAGATTGTATCCGAGCAGGGCGAACAGCTGACGTCGATCGCGGACAACGTGGAAGATGTGCGAGACGACACCCGAGGCGCCCAGGTTGAGCTCCGACAGGCGGCAAGACATCAAAAGGCTGCGCGCAACAAGGGCTGCTGCCTCTTACTGATTCTGGCTGTCATCCTCACCATCGTTCTTCTCGCCGTTTTCCTTGACTAGTGTCGGGACAGTTTGTGCGCTTTCATTTCTGTATGTTGGTTTATTCAGGGCGTTATGGGCGTATGGCCTTTTGTTTGTACACTATCGTCAGTCCTTAGTGCGGCCACCGAAACAATGTTTCCAAAGTTCCTCCGCGTTTCAACTAGGTCCTATCTATTTCATCTTTAAAAACATCGGCTCAAAGTTCCGGCAAGGGACGACCTTGTTCTCCCGGATTGCCTTCTCGGGCGAACCGGTGAATAGTTGGGCGAACCATCTAAGCGCATGCCCAGCCCAAAACGACGAGATCCAATACCAAAACAAGCCCACCGGCAGTTGGCAGAGTGTGAACGGTGCGACTGCGCCGACGAGAAGTGCCGCTCTGCTAAGTCGGACTCTCCATCTCGTGCTCGGAGGTAGGAGTTTGAGGTCGGTGGATAAGCCAAAGACCAGTCGCTTCATCTCGTTGCCTTGCGGCCAGAAAGACGTGACCATTGTCGCAGCGAGCAGCGAAGGCCAAAGAAGCAAGGGATCGGAGCGAGCTGCGATGTCGCATAATAGCTCCCCGGGCGCGTAGTAAACACCCGTGTCCAAGGCTGTAGCAGCAGATTGAATACCATCAGAAGCCGCCGACAGAGCTGCTGCTGTCTGGTCTGAGATGATAGCTGCTCCCTCGCCATCGGACTGTGTTGCTTCTCTGTAGCTGCCGGTGATGAGTGAAAGCAGACCACCGTTGGCGCCGCATACCCGTCTGATGGCTTCGGTGTTGACTAGCCAGAATGGTATGGTGAGCATTGGTGCAAGGTTCTTCCATTCTTGCACACCCCGTTCCCTGTATATTCTTTTCCTTTCCCTGGCCACGTCGAGGACCTTTTGAATTCTGGTTGGAGAGCGGACTGTGTGGTTCCAGGCCTGCACCAAAGGATTCAATTTCGATTGGCGTACTGAAATTCTTGTTGAGTAGATGGTCAACGGCACTCGGAGTGCCGCGGGGATTAATGCCAGTCCGAATATGGCTGTTAGCCAGTCTAGACCGGCGAGGTGCAATGAGACCATGTGATCCTGAGCGAGTTGGATACAGCTCTCTACCGTCTGAATGTGGAGACGCCTGGTGCCAATTTTGTGCTGAGTGAAGCGCTGCGTATTATTGGCGAGGCCTGGTCGGAAACAAGTGTGAAATGGTTTTGTAGAGCAGCCGGCTGGCAGGCGCCATGTGGGCGCCGAGATATGACGCGCGCCTCTTAGAGAAGCCATCGTGGTTTGACCTCTGATCCGTCAATGTCGTCAAGAGGCGTTGGGCGCGACAGGAGTGAGCTGTCGGAGAGACCAGACAGGCACGAAGGCTGGTGCGGTGCCGGGAGGGATTGGGCGAGGCTTGAGACTGAGAGAGAGTGAAGCAAATCAGTTACGTACCTCCTCAGTACTGCTCAATTTCGTGCGCCGCCGGCTGGTTGGCCAATTCCAGTTTGGCGCCCTCAGCCCAGCTAGTGCACTGTATCGGGACGGAAAAGACCTGGACCCTTGCGGGGTTCCACTGTGAGGTACCTACCTTACACGCGGGAAGGTGTGCCGCCCCTCATGTGCAGCGCTGCAGCTCCCCCCGCCCCATTTCTAGCTTGCAGTACAACCTGGCCATTTCAAGTCCCATCCCATCTTGTCTCTTGAACATCCCACCAACGTCAACGGGCATGCTGATGCTGCTGGACTTCACCGCAGCGCCTTTCGCCCTCGACTGCCTTTTGGTACAAACAAACTCCGGTCACGACGCAGCATAGCAAGCTCAATCCCTGTCCACTCTCACCCTCTTGGTCGACTCCGATGCCAGAAACCTGCTCAGCGCCGTCTGGGCAGAAGCCCTTCTCGTTCGGCCTCGATCCGTGGACCCTCGCCTACGTTGTTGTGCCGATCATCGCCATCACCCCGCTTGCGACCTACATCATGATTCCTATGCTGATGCGAGGCATCGGCTCGCTGTTGGGCTGGTATTTGCGCAAGAAGACGGAGGGGAGACGGGCCCAGCTTCTCGAGCTTATGACTGCCGAGCAGCAGGCTTTCTCCCAAGCTCGATCGGTATCCAATAAGACCAATGTGCAGGCACAATCATCTGGAAGCTCTGCTGGAGGAGAAAAGGACGCCAACTGGACCGGGATAGTCGGCTTTTTCCATCCTTTTTGGTGCGTCGACCTTGGAAGAAAGTGAAAGGCGGCGACTAACAAGACGCAGCAACGCTGGAGGCGGCGGAGAGCGAGTCCTCTGGGCCGCGATCAAGACCACCCAGGAAAGATACCCGAACGCTCTCTGCGTCGTCTACACTGGCGACCACGAAATGAATAAGCAGTCCATGCTCGCGCGTGTCAAGGTTTGTGCCTCCAATATCCATCCCCTCTTTCCGCACTCACACAGTGTCTCAGACTCGGTTCAACATCGACCTCCACTCCCCGACCATCAACTTCTGCTACCTGAGCACGAGACACCTCGTCCTGGCCTCGACGTGGCCTCACTTCACGCTCCTTGGCCAGTCATTGGGCTCAATGATCCTGGCGTGGGACGCCTTTCAGCTGTTGGTTCCCGATATCTTCATTGACACCATGGGCTACGCTTTCGCTCTGGGATTGTGCAAGCTCCTCTTCCACAAAGTACCCACCTGCGCATACGTGCACTACCCGACTATTTCGACCGATATGCTGGAATCACTCGACCCCAAATCTACAACCGGAACGCAAGGTGTCAACGCCGGCAAAGGCGTTGGCCTGCGGGGCACGGTCAAAAAGACCTACTGGCGACTGTTTGCAGCGCTGTATTCCCGCGTTGGATCCACTGTTGACATTGTGATGACGAATTCGACTTGGACGCAGGGCCATGTCCAGAAGCTCTGGGGTCCGCATCGCCAGGCCAGACATCGCACCAACCCGATTGAGGTCAACTACCCCCCTTGCGCCGTTGAGGAGCTCGAGGAAGCTGTGGAGGTATCCGAAGCCAGTGAGAAGAAGCGGGAGAAGGCCATGGTCTACATTGCTCAGTTCCGCCCTGAGAAGAACCATCAACTCATCATTCAGTCCTTTGCCGAGTTTCTCAAGACTAACACAGAAGCCGCCAGGGACGCGAAGCTGGTCCTGATCGGTAGTGTTAGGGATGACCATGATTCCAAGAGGGTGTATACGCTGCGCCTCCTTGTCAATGAGCTCAATATTAAGGACAGAGTTGAGTTTCACTTGGATGCGTCCTGGCCTGAGATCTTGGACTGGCTGCGCAGGGCGTCTGTGGGCGTGAATGGCATGTGGAATGAGCACTTTGGCATTGGCGTGGTTGAGTACCAGGCTGCGGGTCTCATCTCTGTTGTTCACGACAGTGGAGGTCCCAAGCTTGATATTGTGGTCGAAGTCGATGGCCAACCTACTGGTGAGTGACTCTTTGTGACCTTTGGGTGTGCTAGCTAACAGGACTGCAGGTTTCCATGCCACCAACGTCAAAGAATTCGCAGAAGGCTACGAGAAGGCCCTTTCCATCAAGGACACGCTTCCTATCCGCCTCAGAGCACGACAGTCAGCCAAGCGATTCACCGAGACGGAATTTGATAAGAAGTGGATCGCCCAGATGGAAAAGCTCGTGGCTATGACGCCGTAAATGCATTGCTCTTAGTTGTATCTCTATATGTACCGATAGACTCGAGGATACCCCTTTCCTTCAGACACCTCAATAAACATGGAAAACGTTTCTAGAATAAGCAAACGGTCTACATCATCATGTCATGCATCTAAACAGTAAACGCGCCGCTGTTCTTCTGCCGCGGCTCGCTGGCCGCTTCAAAGACACCATCTTCAAACTTGATGCCCTGCACCGCGCTGCGGCCCTCGGGAACCCAAGTGACGACGTGGCCCTTGTCGATCATACTGGCAACGGTGTCGTTATCGAAGGGATACTCAAAGGTGACGGTGTTGGGCATGAGCTGGTCGTGTAGTCTCGGCTCGCGGAGGGCCTGCTTCATGGTCTGGCCGTGCTCGAGAACGTGCCAGGTGACCTGCGCCGTGGAGCTGATGATGCGGGAGCCGCCGGCCGCGCCGACGGTGACGTAGAGCTTTCCGTCGGGATTCTCGACGATGATGGGCGTGATGGACGAGAGGGGCCGCTTGTTTGCGCGGACAAAGTTCGCGGGGGACGGCTCGAAGCCGAAGGCGTTCCGGACGCCGGGGATGGAGAAGTCGTTCATTTCGTTGTTCCTGGGGACGTTAGTCGGAGTGAGGGCTGGAAAGGGGTCAGTGGTGGGACGTACAGTATGACTCCGGACAGCGGGTCCATGATCTGGGCGCCGAAGAGCAGGTTCACGGTGGTCGTGAGGGATGTGGCCATGCCCGACTTGTCTGCGGTCACGATGTGCGAGGTTCCGAAGCCTTCGCTGGAGTACATTCCGTGGGGGTCGTACTTTTCCACCGGCTGCGTCTGGTTGTCGAGGATGCGTGATCGCATGCTCTTGGCCGTTGCCTCGTCGATGAGAGTATCCTCGTACGGTCCGATTCCTGCTACAAAGTCTGGATCGCCGAGGAGAGAGCGTGCGCCGTAGGCAAAGCGCATAGCCTCATCGAAACGATGCACGCCGAGGGTCACGTCGTCGCTCTCCGAGGGGTCGAATTGCTCCATGATCTTGAGCGTGTTGAGGGCTACAGCACCGCTGGCGGGAGAACCGATAGATATCAGGCGGTAGCCGCGGTAGGTGATGTTCAGGGACTGGCGGGTGATGACCTTGTAGGATTGCAGGTCGTCGAGGGTCATTGTGCCGTTTGTGGCGCGGACCGTGGCGACCATCGACTTGGCGATGGGTCCGCTGTAGAAGGCTTCAGGGCCTTCCTCGGCGATCTTGGCGAGCGTACTACTCGTGTTAGATGTAGTTGGTTTCGTAGATTATGAACTACTTACGCTCCATATCTCTTGCGATAGATGGTGTCGTCGAGCTTGAGAAGCGTTCCTATCCCGCTGTTAGCTGACTGTGAACACACCATTTGAGAAGCTTCAGGCATTAGTTACCATTAGGAGCAAACTCTTCGGCCCAGACAGGATCCTCGACAAGGAAGTTCTTCTGGTTCTCGATAGCTGAAGCCATATATCTGACCAAGTCCTCCGAGACTCGGAATCCGCCCTTGGCCAACAGGGCCGCCGGAGTTACAACCGTCTTCCATGGAAGAGACTGCACATTCGTTAGGTGAAGTTTCACAGTACCACAAGAACCAAACTTACGCCGTACTTCTTGTGGATGTATTCCAAACCACGAACTTCGCTCGGCACGCCCACAGCCAGGCCTCCGTACACACTCCCCTGGACGTTACCCTTGTACATGTCCTGGAACGCAGCAGCGGGCGCCGACTCCCTGAAATCAATAGACTCATAGTTTCCGTCCGAGTCCCTGATGACAACGAAACCGCCGCCGCCGATTCCCGAGTGGTACATGCCCACAGTTCCCACGCAAAAGGTCGTGCCGACCAAGGCGTCTACGGCATTGCCCTATGAAAGCCAGTCAGCATCATCCTTCTACAAGTCTCCGGCAAACCGAACGTACGCCACGCGCGATTAGATCGCGTCCTATCCTGCTACATTCCACAGACTCGCTCGCAACGGCGCCTGTGTCACCGCCATAGGGATCAAAGACGAATTCCGGTATCGCGGCAGCCGACACAAGCCGCAACTCGACCAGAGCCAGCAAAGAGGCGTAGAAACGCCGTAATGAGAGAGATAACCCTGGTTTACATAGTCAGTACGAACATACTCCTAAAAAGTGCTGATCCCACGGGTTGGGACGAACTCACTCATGTTGGAGTGAACAGACGCGGAGGTCAGTGAGTCTTCAAGACCGGACGGAAGCTCCGAGAGCCTATCGGCGCAAACGCCGAAGACTGATAAGCCGAAAAAGGGAAGACTTCTACGTCTTCAGCTGTCCAAAGTGTTGTTGTCTCTCCGAACTGTCTGGCTGTCTAAGAAAAGATAAACAGTCTACCAAACCTCCCGCCAAATCATAACACGGAGAAAAAAAAGGTTGGGTGCGATGGCGAGCTCAAGTCTCCTCTCTCTGCGTCCCGCATTCCGTGTTCGGGGGTGGGCAGGGAGTGGGAAAGCGCCATGACTTATGTCGATTGCGAAAGTGCCCCAGCAGAGACGCTCACAAGGTCTCGGGACGCCGCCGCGGGGATCCACCACCCCCGGGCTTACTGATAAGGGAAGCTAAGCTGCCACACCTGCACCTTGGGACCTGGGGGACGCATGATAACGATCACCTGGCGCGGCTCCACACTGGCGACCAATCAGGCGTGGGCAAATTAAGTAATTCTCAGCAACTTCAGACGGTGATAACTTTTTCTCACAAGTCACAAGCTTCAATTTATTGAATGTCGCAGTACATTGAATTTTGGCTGCAAAAGGGTGCTGCCATAACAACGCATTCAGAGAGTCTGTCCCACTCTCGCTATACTATTACTTATTGCTTGAAAAAATCGGATTGAGTGTGCCCCAACGGTTACAGACAGTCAGCCAAAAAACTTTCACCGCACCTGGCTCATGGGTTTGCATCTTCGGTTGCTCCCGAGACTCAATTCATCTTCACTCCGCCCGGCCCTCACTAGCTTCCACCTCACAGCCGACCGCCGCATTCCCGCGGCCTTCACACTTAGAGCCATGTCGACAACAGAGGCGGCTCAGCAGCCACAGCCCGCGGCGCAACCCGCCCAGGACGGCGCCTCAAAACCCCAGGGGGAGCAGAAATGGCAGAACAAGAACGGCAACTTCAAGCAGAACGGCAAGCGCCAATTCCAGGGCCAGGGTGGCGGCAGGAGGGATCCCAAGCAGAGGAAATCGAAGCGTGAGAGGAACATCACGGAGGGATCGTCGGAAGAGGTTTTGGCGGCGGATGTGCAAGCGCTCATCGCCTCACGCAAGGACTTGTTCCCTGAGACCGAGGTGAGGGAGGGGGAGGACGGCGCAGTCGAGACACCTCAAATACCGCTCCCTGACCTCTTCACCGAGATCGAGGTAGAGGTGAAGGAGCTCTCTTCAACGGGTGACGGTCTTGCGGTGCAACCCCACTCCCCACAAGTCTACGTCGTCCCCTTCGTGGCCCCCGGCGACGTCGCAAAGATCAAAGTCGTCCGCCACGTCCGCGAGGAAAACTACTCCGTCGCCGACTTCCTGTCAGTGATCACGCCCGGCCCCCTGCGCGACGACTCCCGGATCAACTGCAAATACTTCTCCACCTGCTCCGGCTGCCAGTTCCAGATGCTCGACTACGACACCCAGCTCGCTCACAAGCGCACCATCGTCGAGAAGGCGTACAAGAACTTCTCGCAGCTGCCGCCCGAGCTGGTCCCGACCATCAGGGACACCATCGGCAGCCCCCTGCAGTACAACTACCGCACCAAGCTCACCCCTCACTTCGACGGCCCCCCTGGTTTCCACAAGAAGGGCAGGCCCAGGAAGGCGCTCGAGAAGGTCCCCGAGGTGGGCTTCAACGCCAAGGGCAGGAGAATCGTGCTGGACATCGAGGACTGCCCCATCGGAACGGACGCCGTACGGCTGGGCATGAAGCGCGAGCGCGCGAGGATCGCCCGCGACTTTGGCAACTACACCAAGGGCGCCACGATCCTCCTCCGCGAGAACACCACGCGGTACCCCAAAACCGGCGCAGAGCAGCCGCCCGCCGAGCTGTCTGAAGACGCGGTCCGCGTCGAGACAGACACCCACGTCGACATCAAGACGTGCATCTCGGAAGCCACGGGCGCCATGTCGAGCGAGTACATTGACGACTTCATCTTCACGAACCCGGCCAACTCCTTCTTCCAAAACAACAACTCGATCCTGCCAAAGTTCACAGACTACATCCGCCAGCACGTCATGCCGCCCGCGGGCCCCAACCGCGACCGCATAAAGTACCTCATCGACGCCTACTCGGGCTCCGGCCTCTTCACCATCACGCTCGCCTCGCTCTTCAAGGGCAGCACGGGCATCGATATCGCCAAGGACTCGATCGAGTACGCCCGCAAGAACGCAAAGCTCAACGGCCTCCCCGAGGAGCAGTGCAACTTCATGGCCGCCGACGCCCCGGAGCTGTTCAAGCACGTGACGTACCCCGCGGACGAGACGGTCGTCGTGATTGATCCCCCGCGCAAGGGCTGCGATAATGACTTCTTGAGCCAGCTGCTGCGCCACGGGCCGAGGCGGGTCGTCTACGTGAGCTGCAACGTGCACACGCAGGCGCGCGACGTCGGCGTGCTTGTGCGCGGCGACGGGGGCGACGGCACAAAGTACGAGATTGAGAGCCTGGTGGGATTCGACTTCTTCCCGCAGACGGGACACGTCGAGGGCGTGGCGGTGTTGAACAGGGTGGAAAAGGATGCGTAAACAAGGTCAAAAGGTAGACAAAAAGTACACACAAGATACCATCGTCATTCCGTAATATAGAATAAAAAGTACCAGGCCACCCGGGGAGGTGATTGCATTTATTTCAGGAAACTCTAGTCCGTCTTTTTTGTTTATCGTGGTTTAGGTCTTTGCCTTCTACCTCATGTATCAGGATCTTGTACAAAAGAGATGCGAACCTCTAACCCTCCAACGCCCTGTTATTGGTATCCTCGAGCAGAATCTTCAACGCCTGAACGAGAACCTCGAGAACCTCCGCCCGCCGGCTCTTCTTGGCCGCCTCCTTGAGAACCTCAAGACCGCCCTCCTCGATAATCTTCTTGCGGGCGTTAGCCCCAGGTGCACCCTCGGCAGCCACCATGTTGTAAATAATGAAACCAGCCCGGTGACGCAGGTCCTCGTTGTCATCCGCGCACATGTCGAGGACAACCTTGACTCCTCGCTCACGGTCCACAATGGCTTGTACAACGTTCTCGTGCCCTGTGAGAGCGGCGAGAGCGCCACCGGCAGCGCTGCGTGTGCCCTCGTCCTCTGCGTCGGCTAGTGCAAGGAGAATGTGCATGCGGCCCTTTGCCTGGGGGCTACCGTCGGCATACAGTGCCAAGCCTTCAACCGCTTGTACGAGGTTGCAGATGAGTTCGACGGCAGCCTTCGATACGCGCGCGTTTGAGCAAAGCAATTGGTCTTCAATCTGTGGCCAGGCTACCCGGATGATGGCTCTTCTAGTGTCAAGATCGTCAGTCGATGCGAGGTTAGTAAGTGCCATGAGCGCTTCAAAAGTTGGAAGCAGGTCTCGGTGCTCCGCTGCTGGGTCCGGAGGAATGATGGAAACAAGCGGTCTGATAGCTGAAGCTTGAGGATTGGAGCGGCTGCCGCCGAACACGAGAGCCGGGTTGGTGCTGATAAGAATTCGCGCCAGAGCCTGAGCGGCTGTCCGCCTTCCTGCGGCCTCAGTCTCTGGAAGTGTGGCCCACGCCGTGAGGAGTAGTTTCACAGCGCCTTGCTGTGCCAGCTTTCCACGCAAAGAGGTTGTAACTGATAGGGAATAAATGATAGCGACAGTGAGAGAAAGTGACGCAGGTGAACCAAACTTGCTGTGCGTGACCAGGACCGGGGTGACGCCAGCCTCAAAGACACGCTTGCACCGTTCTGTGACATGGTCGTCGTCGTTAAGGGGATCAGGCCCAGCGCCCTTGCCAGCTGCAGCTGCGTATGCCTTCAGCTGGTTCATTTTCTTGTCCTCCTCAGACAGCTTAGGTTGGTATCTAGTGATGTTCACCAAGATACTGAGCGCTCCATAGGTCAAGGGAGATTTTGGCGGTGCGTCCGCCAGCTTCTTGACCAGCTTCTTCAAGAAATCTGGGTTTCCCGCAAGCTTCTCTTTGATGGCTGGCTGGATCGATGCGTACGCCAGGCCTTCGATTGAATGTTGATCTCCATGGTCGTCGTCGCTCAGGAGCATTGATGTGAATCTCGTTGAAAGGTCTTCGATGGTAGTGATTGCCGGTGAAATCTTCCCTTGCCCCTCCTCATTCAGCGCCGGCGCCGGGGGCACCGCCTTCATTCTGAAGTCAGTCAGATCTAGATTGGACGGCTTCAAGTCCGGTTGTTGAAAGGTCTGAATACCATACCCTCAGTTTTGCCAGGATGACGGCTGCCAAGTTTTGGACCTGCTCCGAGTGCCTCCGCATGGCGACGGAGCCCTCCTGGACGGCGTACTCGGGATCTTGCTGCATCTCCTTGGCAATCTGGTCGGGGTCCTGGTCGACAACCTCTTCCAGCCACTCGGTGCAGTACTTGTTCACTGCGTCACGGCACTGCGAGTTCATGCAGGCGGCGTTGAGCATCTCGAGACAGGCGGTCTCGACCTTGCGGCTCTTCCACTTCCTCCTCATCAGGGGGCCCAGGGAGCTGAGGAAGCCCTCGCTGAGGAACAGCTCGGCAGTCAGATCCGGGACGATGGGGAAGGCTGAAGCAGCAACGCAGAAGGCGACAATGTAGTCATCGTAAGTGCCCCTCTTGACCTTGTCGAAAAAGAAGCCCGAGAGCTTCTTGGCACCATCGTCACCGGCGGCCTTGAGATAGGCGGAGGTGGCCACGATGGCGTGTGCGCGGACGATCTCTGGCTGTCTCATGTCGAGGTATGCCAAGATGGTGTCGACGCAGTCGCTGTCGATGAGTTTGCATATCGTGGGTGCGGATGTCTTGGCCTGGATGAGCTGGAGGTCGTCATTCAACAGCTTGGTGAGCTGGTCCAGGTCGCGGATGGTCTCGTCGTCTTCCTTGCCGCCCTCCATTAATCGCGCAAGGACCAGCAGGGTCTCATCCTCTCTCGAGGGCTCCGTCTTGGGAGCGGAGGCTTGGGTGACGGCAGCCATTTGATGATGTGCTGTGTGTGTGCGTGGCTCAACTGGGAAAATGGTTGAGCAGAGGTACTTGGTGTAGGGTATAAGGTAGATATGTATATTTTAGGGTATTCCAAGTCTGGTGGTGGGTAGGTGAGGACAGACCTGGGACGGAAGAAAAATTCTAGAAGGAGACGGGATGGGGCGGTAGTCAATATTTGTACCTTTACCTTTACTTTGGAAGCTTAGGGGCGGCGGCGGACTGTGCTGCGCGGTCTGATGGTCACAGGGTGCGGCGATGACAGATGCGTGGAGGAGGTTTGGTCGGTCAATTGCTGAGATAAGAAAAAAGGCAGGAAGATGAGCCCAAGCGGTTTCACAACTCTGAGACTTGCTACTGGCCAGTGCTACCAGCTAGCATGGAGTTGATGGGCGAGTTTAGCCACAGAACATGCTGGGTACGTACACGCAAGATGACAGAAAGTGCCAGCCAGACCTACCTAGACCCAGACAGACCTGCCTCTGATGCTCAACCTCCCTCTGACGAGGCGCTCTATTCGGCGCCCCCTAGTCCCTTATTCAGCACCCTTTTAAACCCTTTTTAGTAGTACGCTTATATAAAAAAAAGCTATATATACTAGATACTTACTTACTTAAAACTAATATATAGCTATTTATACTAATATCTATACTTATTTATATATAAATAGTAAAAAACGCTCTAAAATATTAAAAGAAAACTATAGAAAATTAAGAAAAATTATAAAAAATATATAGTTAAGTAATTAGAGTTATGAATAAATTAAAATTGTAAATAATTTTAATTAATTTTTAAGTATTTAGTATTCTATTTAGTATTTTATTAAAATATTAGTTTTTTTTATTAACTAAAAGTATTAAATAAAAAACTAAGAAGTACTAAATAGAGTATTTTCTTTTTAACCTTACTTATTAAATAAAATGTTATTAGTAAGATATAATAAATATTAAAGAGGCGCTCTATTTAGTACTTTTTAATCTCTTATTTAGTACTTTTAATTAATAGAAAAAAACTAATATCTTAATAAAATACTAAATAAATTATTAAATATTTTAAAAATAACTTAAACCTACTTATAACCCTAGCTTATTTATAACTTTAACTACTTAACTATAAATTTTTTATAATTTTCCTTAATTTTCTATAATTTTCTTTTAATATTTTAAAGCGTTTTTTACTATTTATATATAAATAAGTATAGATATTAATATAAATAGCTATATACTAGTTTTAAGTAAATAAGTATCTAGTATATATAGCTTTTTTTTATATAAGCGTACTACTAAAAAGGGTTTAAAAGGGTGCTGAATAAGGGACTAGGGGGCGCCGAATAGAGCGCCTCGGTATCAAGCTGTTCAACGTCAGGTCTCATCCTCGTCCCTCGTCGCCGTTTCCTTTTTTAGGTGCCACGGGTGCCCCTCCTTGGCCCCCATTCGCAACGCAACATGCAGGGCACCAGCACATACACCAAGCACATCAAGCACCCCAAGCACGCACTCTGGCACTCAAGCTCATACCGGCGCCGTGCTTTGTGGTTGCATCACAGGGGACCAGTCAAAACCAAACTCTCACTCTTCCCAACCAGCTCCAGACCCCAAACTCAACAGTTACACCGCTCGGCTTCCGCACTCTCCCTCCATCATCCCACCTCAACTTACATCTTCATACCTGCATCCCTTCCTCCCGTCTGCAGAGAGACAACCCCAAGTGCATGAACACCGCTCGGCTCACTCTGCTGAGCCCTTCCAGCCCCTCTTGGCCGGCTGACTAGTCAAGCAGGTACATCCTGATAGAGTCCGGCCAACAAGATGCAGCTGCGTGTAGACGGGCGGGGCAGAATGCTTGAATGCACCATGCACACCAACCATCATTGCCTCAGCCCGCCGTCACGCCCCTACACCACTTAACGCGCCCCCACGCCAGACCGCGCCTCGAGCGCTTCCCACCCTGCCTGTACGCAGCACGTAGCCTGCGTAGGTATTTCAGCGAGATGGCGAGTCGAGTCGCAGTCTCTGTTCACCAGGCACTACCTATGGAGGGTGGCATTATGCTCTGGCGCAGTAAACTGGTCAAACGCTAGCATACCCAGCATCTGTTCCCAGGAATTGTGCATGATCGCTCCAGATCTTCCCCATGTTTGCTGCAATGACCTCACTTCCCCATTACCTACTAGGCGCAGTAAATCTCACCAGATATGGAATGGGTGTCCAGTGAGATCCCCGGGTCCCTGTGACGCATCCCGCGTGCTGCCAGGTAGTTAGGCGTGCAGTGCAGTGCAGTGCAGTGTGCACCTCCGTCCTCAGCCCGCTGCCCTGCTGGACCTTCGGAGCCTGTTCCCCGGAGCCCTTGCCCGTGGGTGCCATCCAATAACTGCGCTTGCCTGTTCCATGGCGTCGGCCGTGCACAGACCCGCCAGCAGCTCCGTCGTCAGTTATTTCTGATAGTGAAGCAAGCTTAGTTGCATCACCTCACCTCACACAAACCCCTACCTCTCGCCCTGCCCTTTTTGGTGATACCGCGCCAAGAGACCTGGTCCAGTCTTCCCTCTCGAAGACGTAGGGTAGGATTGAAAGGGTCCAATTGACCAAGGGGTCTATCCCCCAATACCATTACCAATACCACACATCACACACATGCTGCTCCGCCGGTGACACCTACCCGCGACCTGGCCGCAAGCCGACGAGGCCATCGCCATAGCCCTTCCTCAACATGAATAACGTCGACGCCTCCGACCACTACGAGGTCTCCTCCCACGAGACGACTCCTTCGCTCCTCTCCATCGTCATCGACACGAACCCCCGCGCCTGGGCCGCTCTCAACGATGTCCTCCCCCTCTCCAAAGCCATCGCAAGCATCCTCGTTTTCGTCAACGCCCACCTCGCCTTCAGCAACGCCAACCAGGTCGCCATAATCGCATCCCACAGCAACCGCGCAGTATGGCTCTACCCCACAAAGCCCGAGCCCAAGGCGGCCTCGACGAACGGCGCGTCTGAGGACGTCGACATGGCAGACGCCTTTGCGCCGACCCCGAACAAGTCCAACGCCAACAAGTACCCCCAGTTCGCGCAGATCGAGAAGGCGGTTCTCGGAGCGATACGCGAAGTCATCAATCAGACCACCGAAGCCGACCTCTCCTGTACAACAACCCAGCTGTCAGGCGCGCTCACGCTGGCTCTGTCATACATCAACAAGGCCTCCATGGCGCTCAACGAGACAAACAAGACACCGGAAGCCACCCGCGCGACCTCCTCCGCCCTCACGCGCCTTCATGCACGCATCTTCATCCTCTCTGTCTCCGACTCCGAGCCGGTGCAGTACATACCCACGATGAACGCCGTCTTCGCGGCGGCGCACTCCCAGATTCCCATTGACACCCTCGCCCTCTCTGGAGACGCAACATTCCTCCAGCAAGCGAGCTACATCACCGACGGAACTTTCATGCAGGCAGCCAGTCCTAGGGGTCTACTGAGCTACCTCATGTTCGCGTACTCTGCCGACGCCGAGGCTAGATCCTCCCTGATCCCACCCACGCACCATACAGTCGACTTCCGCGCCGCATGCTTCTGCCACGGCCGCGTGGTAGACACCGGCTTCGTATGCAGTATCTGCCTCAGCATCTTCTGCGACGTGCCTGAAAACTCCGAGTGCCTGACGTGCGGCACCAAGCTCTCTCTCGGGAGCTACGGCGCTAAGCCCGCTGTTGTCCCGCGGAGGAAGAAAAAGAAGAAGAAGGTACTGGCAAACGGCAACATCAGGGAGGAGACGGGTACTCCTGGGGGAACACCACGGCCAGCGTAATGATATATCACGAATGCCCGCTTGGGCCATGTAAAATCAAGAAGTTGCTCAGGACAGGATCAAGCTGAGCAGGCACAGATCCTGAGCTCCAGGACAGGTAGATTTGGCGTTTGGAAAGACGGCGGTTCGGTATCAGCCTTATACATCAATCATCAGCCGGCCTTATTGGCTCACATCATACTCTGGTACATTTGCAAGTGACTGAATGCAAATTCTCTAGGCGATTGTCTGAAATTCATGCCAGTAGCGCTCTAGGAGCTAAGCATAATGCGTGGAGGGGTATCACTACTAAATATCACTGCGAGAGCCGGCATATCTCATCCGGTCTGGGGATGCTCTCGCCAACCTGGCTCAGCGCCCTGGACGCAAAACAACCGCCACTCCTCGTTCCCCGATCATGTTGGCCAGTGTCACTGAATGCCAATCCAAAATGATGTGAAACAAAGTGCGCCCTCAAGATCCTGGGTCAACCCGAATCCGTCGAGCACCTCGCGTGACCTGAGCTGACTCCCCCAGGCGGGACATGACGCATACAGGTTCCTTGTCTGAGCCGCCCATTGAGGCGAGCGCGAAGGAGTCGGTGTTGTGCGCGAAGTACAAATAGTAGCCCGTCCGCGTTTTCTTCACCGTCATCACGCCGATCGCCCCAACCGAGTTGCAGTTTCTGACGCCGGGATGTCCCATGAAGTCGTTCGTGATGAAGGACTCCATGATCGCGTCTTCGTTCCATTCTTCCACATCTCTTCCGTTTGGTCCCCTGCGGGTGTTGCCATAGATGCGCTCTGCACATCGCTGAGACGCCATTGTCGTGGCCATGTGCTCACCAGTGCCACTCGTTACGGTTGCAACGCTGACTCCATCCGGGTCATTTGGGTCACAGGGCACGACGGCCGTTCCGATGCCCACCAAAGCAGCAGGGCCTATGCGCCCCCGGTGCTTCATTCCGATGCCACCAGATGATGAACCTGCCGCAATCCGACCCTTTTCGTCAATTGCGATTGCACCTACAGTGTCAGTGATGATATCCTCCTCCTCGAGTTCAGCAGCAGAGAACGGTCTCTTAATACCAAGAGGACGACATGCCTGCAGCTGCGCAACAGTGCTGACATGTTTGGCTCCGTCAGACCATAGAGGGGAGTATGTGCCATCACGGTCTCCCTGGTTGAGGTAGTCCCCATCGCTCGACGGAAGGCCTCTCTCTTGCAATAACTGAGTGCGAGACTTATTGGAAGATGGCAAGGAAGCGCCGATGTAGCTCAGAGGTGCTCTTTCTATGCCTTGGCGTTGCGGCAAACTTCGGGGATTCGCTAGTACAGAATTGTCTAGAGGTTGGCTGGGGCCCTGCTCCAGCGCCGGGGAGCCTCGATGCGGGGAGTCAGGTTGGCCTTCGTTCCATGTACCGGTAAAGATAGCGCTAGCATGATCCCGTTGCAACACTTTGGTTGTTCGCGGAGAGCCAGGCACCGGGATGGTTTCATACTGATGGGCGACATCAGATGTGTCGTTGGCTGGTCCTCGAGGCATGCCTTGCTTCGATTTCTCCTCAGCTCGCTTGAGATCCTCTTGCCATCGAAGAAATCGGTCTCTGGCGTTCTTGGAGACTAGGTAGTCGTTGTGGACTGGCTGCATGCCGTGCTCCTGAGCAAAATTCTTGGCACCCTCGCCGACGAGGATATTGGGCGGAACTCGTCTCAGGGAAAGTGGCTGGTTGCTTTTGTCCAAAATCAACTTGGCAAGGCAGATGGGATTTCGGACGTCTTGAGTGCATCATTAGTCCTGACCTTGCCGCACTCGTTTAATATATACTTACTTGGCACGGCGCCACAAGCACCGCTTCTTCCGAGATAATCAACGACGGTGGCATCACATTCGACAGTACCGTCCATCGAGAGATTCGAGCCGTAGCCAGCATTCGTGATTTCTTTGTCTTCGAGAACGCGCAGGGCAATTTCAACAGCTTCCGTAGCCGAGGCACCGGACTTCAAGAACTTCATTCCCATTGCGGCAGCACTATCTGGTTAGTCAAGCAAAAAGGCCTAGGAGGAATGACTTACTTGCTGCAAGCCTCCAGGTGAACTCTCTCATTCTGATGGCTGTGAAAACCCGCTCCGGCATGGATAAAGATGGCTCCAGGGAATCTTGGCTTGTGTATCCGCTTCAATACTCGATCGACTGTGCCATCTGTGCCGCCAATTGTCTGCACTTCGGGATCTGCCTGAAGGAGATGCTGGTCGTTGCTCAAAAGATCCGTGGCCGTACCTGTGGTGGTGTCTAGCGTGGCTCGCCTGGCAATAGCATCAAGGGCTTCCATTCCACGGCAGTTCAGCCCAGCTGCGGAAGCTTGGCCGGCATACAGGTATTCTGATGAGAATACTGGGTCTTAGTCGATATTATCTGGACCGTTGAAAACGACCGTAATAGCTAGATAGCCCGTTGTTTAATGGACCGAAGTAAATGAATGAGCAAGCATGCAAATCGAAAGCAGCCAGCGTTCTAACGACAGGAAGTCCAAGTAGAGGCTCAAAAAAGAAGGGTCTGCTGGATGTGAATGCTGATGGTAGGCAGCCCGGAACCGACCATCAGTCTCCCGAGAGAGAAGATGTGGTAGATGTATGAAGATGGGGGAAGCGACAAAGATAGATCCGAGGTAAAATAACTCAATGCTAGAGCTTTCGGCTGCAGGTGCGTAGAAGGCTGGGGGCTTCCCGTAGGCCAAACAGCTTGATGTTTGGAAGTGGCAGACTGGCTAAGAAGCTTTCGCCTGCTCAGCTTAGACAGGGAAAGTAAGTGATGAAGCCGGGGCCCTCCAAGCTCCTGGCTAACATAGGTTGTATGCAGGCAGGCCCGTTGGAAATGGAACTGCGAAGTTGCCTGATTTGAGCACTCAAGGGCTGATTGAAGATGCCTGAATAACGACGCAACAGCCTCCGTGACTCAGATCGCATGTATGACATCAAACTCCCGCGATAGCTACCCGTGCATACCAACGCGTTTTGCACAACCGCAACTTGGAAATGGGGGTGGTCTTTCCCAGCATGGAGGACTAGCGTTGCTTGGAGAAGGAGCAGGCGGGTGCTTACCTAAGTCATTACAGTAAGTTTATACAGTCAAAGCAGCACTTAGCACAGTCCTGCCAGCTCGACCTGGGGTGCCTGGTGGGGATGGGTGGTGGGGCACCGACCTCACCATGGCTGGAGAATCCACCACCTCTGATGCACAGCCGCATGTTGGGAGCTTGATCGGTGACAAGGCACACATTTCCGACCACCTTGGACATACGTCGTAATCAGCATCACGAGTGCATCGACGACGTCCCGGTCCATCCTCCCACATCCTGGTGCTGCATCTGGGCTAGACTTTACCCGAGCAAACCTCAATTACATCCAACATGGCGAACCAAACGCCTGCCGTTGTCATGGACAAGTAAGTCAACCAATGTCACCCTGCCCCGCCCCGCATCCCCCGAGGCAGACGTCAGTAAGGTCATCACCAGCTAACAGCTCATCAACAGCGGCACGGGATTCTCGAAGCTCGGTATGCCAATTGCGAATCGATCCCCTTTCGATGAATAGCTCTGACACTATGATCAGGTTTCGCCGGAAATGACTCCCCGTCCTTCGTGTTCCCGACCGCCATTGCGACGAAAGGTCCCGCTGCCGGCAGTGGAGGAACTGGTTCTGGCCGCCCAGCCGTTGCCAACAAGCCGTCCTTCTTGACCGGTGGTGCTGGCCCTGGCGGACACTTGAACTCGAAGCGAGGAACTGAGGATTTGGACTTCTTCATCGGTGATGAGGCAATTGCTGCGTCAGGAGGACCAGGTCAGTGCACACGGCGACGACGAAGGAATGTGCAGCAGCCTGCTCACCGATACTCTAGGCTACGGTCTTCACTACCCCATCCGACACGGTCAAATAGAGAACTGGGTATGGTATTTACGTAACCGCACGGGAACGGGATACTAACGGCACTCAGGATCACATGGAGCGCTTCTGGTCCAACTCTATCTTCAAGTACCTGCGCGTAGAACCCGAAGACCATTTCTTCCTTCTCACCGAACCTGTACGGCACGATTCAAACACATTCTCTCTTGCCCGAGTTGCACAGTCTGGCTGACCTTGACTTAGCCCCTGAACCCTCCCGAGAACCGCGAGAACACGGCCGAGATCTTCTTCGAGTCCTTCAACTGCGCCGGTCTCTACATCGCCGTCCAGGCCGTGCTTGCCCTTGCCGCCTCTTGGACCTCCTCCAAGGTTCACGATCGTTCTCTGACCGGAACGGTTATCGACTCTGGTGACGGTGTCACCCACGTCATCCCTGTTGCCGAGGGATACGTTATTGGATCCTCCATCAAGTCGATTCCCATCGCCGGTCGCGACCTGACCTACTTCGTCCAGTCGCTGCTTCGTGACAGAGGCGAGCCGGATTCGTCATTGAAGACGGCCCAGGAGATCAAGGAGGAGCACTGCTATGTGTGTCCCGATATTGTCAAGGAGTTCTCCCGCTACGACCGCGACCCCACACGCTTCATTAAGCACCCTGTAATCCAGCCTGGTGGCCGTCAGGTTTCCGTCGACGTCGGATACGAGCGTTTCCTTGCCCCCGAGATCTTTTTCAACCCGGAGATCTACAGCTCCGACTTCCTGACGCCCCTCCCCACTGTTGTCGACAACGTTATCCAGTCCTCCCCCATTGACGTTCGCCGTGGTCTGTACAAGAACATCGTCCTCTCTGGTGGTTCCACCCTGTACAAGGATTTTGGCCGCCGCCTGCAGAGAGATATCAAGCAACTGGTTGACGCGCGCATCCGAGCTAGCGAGGTCCGTAGTGGCGGTGCCAAGTCTGGCGGTTTGGAGGTGCAGGTCATTACCCACAAGAGGCAGAGACACGGTCCCTGGTTCGGTGGCAGCTTGCTAGGCCAGACTCCTGAGTTCCGCTCTTACTGCCACACCAAGGCTGAGGTGAGTAAACTCTGGTTGATCGTTACGAAAATGTCTTCTGAC